GCCAGTATATCACACATTGAAGAAAAGAGGTTTTAACTACTTCATCAAAGCTCTAAGCCACAAGGGAGCCACCCTGAAACAGAAATCCAAATACCAAAAAAGTAACCTCTAATTAACCACATTTTAGTACAAAAGAGATTCAAAAACGTTCACCAGAAAAAATCTCGAGTATGGGACAGTTGCAGAGTAAGGCCATCTTCATTCTCATGTGAAATCATGAAGTAAAATTGGGTACTATTTTTGCTTCTTTAAAATATTCACAGTCTTTTTGGCCTCCCATGCATGAGTTCCCTGTTCAGTGGGATTCGCTGTCTCTCTGTATTGAAAGTATATTTATCTTTGGAAAGTTTCTCCTTTTGTGTGATACCTGATACCTTGATAGGTAATATAGATGTCTACTGCTGATACAAAGGGGGAGGGCGGGGGGGAAGCAACACCAAAAATTATTTTCTCACTTCTCAAAAGTGAAAAACTCTTCTCTCACAAACATAAATTCTTAATACTTTCTTCAAAAAAGATAATAATTTATTAAGCAGAGTGTGCTTATTAATAAATTACCATGCAAACAGATGTAAAGTCACTTTCAATGTGTTGTTGAAGTTGTTTATGCTAACGAGCAAGAACAGAAGCCTGTTTGCATGGGGAAAATACCAGACTACTACAGGTGTCCCAAGCATCTTTGAAACAGAGGTGATGGATAGCTACTAGTGCTCTTAAAGAGTATCTAACAGTATTTGTCTATGTACCCGGAAGATGACTTTCCTCTTCAGAAGCTATTTCCACACTTTCTCTTCCAAACTAGTTGCTTATGAGCTCCCTGGTCTACAACACAACCAGCATTTTCATAAAAGCCACTTCTAGGCAGTTTAATCAGATATTAAAAAAAAAAGTATTAAAACAGAAACAGTATTTGAATTGATGTGTGAAAAAACAATTTGCAAATTTAATTTTAAATCACAAACATTTTTATTGTGATCATTTCAAGAGCCTTAACTATCTCTAGTGTAACAGAAAGAGTAAATGAGCATCAGACAAGAAGTTGCCATCATAACAGCAATGCCAAGAAGAGAAGAGCCAAGTGCCACAGGAGCACTCAGAGATGCCAAGCACTCCTACCTGCAGGACAGGGAAATCTCGATCTTCAAAAATGCTGAGCAAGGGCCTTCATTTAGTTATTTTAGCATAACGGCCACAGGAGATAACACTTATCTTACCACTCTGGAAATGCATTTTGTTCCACAAAACAAACCTAGGTTTACCTAAGAAGATTGTGAGGTACTCGCACTTACCTCAGAGAAGTGTGAGCAGGAACTTCTACCGCAAGCAGGTGAAGGCAGTGGCTTGAGCAGGATTTAATTGCTGGCAGTCTAAATGAATATTTAGAGTSAGGTGTATACGCAAGGTAAATGCAAAACTATCCAGGTTTTAGGTGGAATATTACTAGGCACAGGAGAAAAATAAATGTAGCAAGTGATGCCTCCTCATACAGAAGTAACTACATAAACCCCTTATTGTCTTACGCTGACAATATTGCTTTATTCCTATGATATAGCCCCATACGAACCTACAGGGTAAAAGCTTCCAAGTATTTTTGATATCAGGTTTTACATTTCTTCATAACGRAAGGTTTACCTCTCTTCCTAGGCACCCAGTTAGTTCAGACGTTTTTGCTCCTCAAGCAGGCTTTCTTTCCTATGCCAGGTTTGAGTAGGTGACTATTTTCTGTAGAAATATTGTACCTCCAAGGTACGCAGACATCAAGTATTTGGAATACGAATTAAAATGATATATTTGTACAAACTGTAGCTTAGCGTAGTTGTGTTGGAGGCTGAAATCATTCTGTTGCTTCTGTATGTTTTTGTTACAGCACAAAATTGGGCTAAAGCCCACTTTTTTTTTTTTTCCAGCTGGTGACAGTTACCTAATTCCAAGCAGYGATCTATGCCATATCCTTGTTTTTTATTTTAGCAATATAACATAGACTGCATTTCTCATATGACATGTCTCCCAAGGCATAGAGGGATGTTTCATTGTCTCTTCTGTGAACAGTTAGGATAATTATTTGTTCTAAAGTTTTCATGGGAAGACTCCAGGGAAGCCTCCTGATCAATCTATCCCCCAACAGGACGAAAGAACAGACGTTGCACAGCAGGTTTCTTATTCAGTACATATTGTGTTACTTTATCTCACCACTCTAAGTGTGCTATAAAAAGGAGGAGGAGGAATGTTCCTTTTCTTTTTAAAAAACAAATATTCTATAATATTCAAATATAATAAAATAATAGAATAACATTGATAGAAATTTTAAACTGCAGCAGATCTTTAAATTTAAATTATATGCTTTTAAAAGGAATCATTGAAAAAATAGTCACAATTATGCTTTCTTTTAGAAGTAATTATATCTGGCATACAACCTATTATTTTATATTTAACAATATCTAAAGCAATTGGAAACATAKTTGTTTTTATTCATAGCATTTCAAATTCCCAGATATACTAAMATTTAGCATGGGAATCAGTATGAAATGGAGTTGTAATTAACTCCATTTTGAATTAAAGCCTTAATATTAGTGATTCTGCTAGGTAAGGTAAATAAAGACATGTATACCTTTCAGAAGAATAAATAAATGCCTTTAAAATAAAAGCTTCTCGCATATTCTATGGGCAGTCTTAAATATGAAATCAACAAGAAACATATGTTTCTTCATATGTGTCAAAGACATAGCCAAGAAATATGTATGCTTTCTTAAAGAAATAAATAATGCCATCTACCTCAAATTAATACATTGCTTCAGTCAGTGCATTCTGCAAGTCGTTGCCCAAACGCTGCTTCCAGCTTGAGAACCTCCTGCTCTCTGAAATGGGGAGGTAAGAACTTCCTCCAAATGTTCTCCTTTGGGTAATGACTCATTTAAAGGAAGAGGAAGAAGAATCAGGTTTTATTTTTAAAATGATAAAAGAAAATGCAATGAAAAGAAAGTTATTGACTTCTGCAGGGTGCTTTTGTGCAAAAGAGGCAAATAAAAATAGTGTTTATTTTTCTCATATCTGCTTCTTTGCAGATATGCTGTATATGCTTTGTGTGATAAATTGCAAAGAAATGGTTCAGCAGATTTCTAACAAATACAACGTGAGCCCTTAATCCTATTAATTCAAAGATAACTAGATAATCACGAGATAAAACTGCTATATGTTGTTTCATTCTTCTATAAGCATTTAAAGAAACAATCTTGCTGACAAACCACAAGGATTATGGAAATGATGGAATAAGAAAAAATTGTGCAGAGCTGCTGAAGAGTTAGCTCTGAGACTTCACTGAGACATCCAAAAAGGTGAATCTACATGACACAATAGCTAAAAAATGTGTGATCTGTAATGCAGAATGAACCACAGGAGGGAAAACTGTCCTCAAGCCACCTGTTCTCTTTTAGACTAATGAAGGCTGCTATTTCACACTTCTGCAGGATATTCTTCTTGAAACAAAACCTGCAATTAGTCTGTAAACACACAGACTCACACACCTACCTGTAACTCCCTGTAATCTCACACGGACCCAGTACTTGGCTCAGCTTTGTATGATGGACTTTATCTATTGCTGAAAAACTGTCACCTGCTTCCCTTTCCTTGGTGGCAATAGTTCAGTTGGCTGTGGTCTAATACCCCCTTTCCTAAATAATCCCAAGGGACAAGCTGCTAGTGCAGGACAGGATGTAAAGAGGTTCAGCAACAGTCCGTCCTGATTTAGGAGACCGCAATGGAGTAAACAGTGAAATTTAGGAGCAAGGGAGAAGATTGGACCAAGATTTATATCATGAACACCAGCATTTGCAAAATGTTTTGCAGTTCATAGGAGTATCCCTTTAGCAGGGCAGCTGTCAGAGTTATTTGTCAGACTACAATAAGCCAGCAAGTCGTTGGGCCCAAAGCAGAACAGCACTATGCCACACTCATTTTGCACAAGGCTGAAGTCACAGGCAGCCTGGCTACCACAACCAACAGCATCATGCCAAAATCTGGGTCCTTTTCCAGCATGGGCATTCCCAGAAAGGGGACGACTGGCAGCTAACAGGGTGCCCAAAGTACCTCTGAACTGCYGACAGCAGCACCACTTACTGCTGTTCTCAGATCACTTGACATTGCTTACACCAAAACAGCAGCTGAAAAAAATAACCACAAACACGGGTAGCTAACAATTAACACAAGCTCCAGGATGGAGGAGCTTTGACAGTATTCCTGTTCTTATTGGAATCACTGCTCTACGAGAGCCTCTTCTCCTATTAGGGCGCTCAAAGAGCACAAATACCGAAACTTCTTCATGGGAAGCTGGGCTGGAAGGGAACTTGGCAGAGATTTCTGGGGAACAGAGGTGAATCTGTGCAATTGTGAGGCAGGCTTTCCCTACACATAAGCAAAGCTGTGTACCTGACCAGACAGTAGGTTTATCAATAATTCCACACCACCCACCCAGTCAGTCGTCTCAAGGAACAAAACCCCTGGAGTCAATATTCTCCCCCCCAAGAAAAAGCTTTTTAGGGACTTTCAAAGATTGGATCAATTTGCTTATGTACAGTAATAACAAACTGATCTTGATCAAAACATGACAGTTTTACTGAACATAGAGACATGTGCTGCTAGCAAAATTAAGGGCTGCCCGTCTTGTCAAGAAGTAACTGGCCATCCACAAAGATAATCACCTGCRTCTCCACAACACATCACAGGAGTGAAATGACTCATTTACAGCCAGGGAAGCAGGAGTCATGAAATCTTTAATTTGTTCYGAGATCATTACAGCTTAGCTGTGAGAAGCAGTTATCACCTCGCTGCCACAATGCAAACAGTAAAATCACCCTCTTCACACGCTATATTGCCACTTCTCCTCCTCCTCTCCACCCAGTTATTCATGTACCCAGCACTGACGTTTCACATTTCAGTGGCATTAGTGGGGTGAAAAGTTATGCATAGAGAGCATAGGAGTTAGAGAAAAYGTACGCTTCACATACCTCATCAGAAAGTTTGTCACCAATGTTCCGATTTTTCTTTCTTATTTGAACTTCCAAAATATTGCCACTTYTTTGAAAGAACAATTTAAACATTATGGATAACACACCACCTTTCACAGGAATCTGGAAAACAGTAAAAGCATGTTGCTCAGAAATGTCTTCATGTTTTATTATGGCATTGCTTTACTAGGACATTCTAGAAGTAAAGCTTATTTAAAAAAACAATTAGCTAAAATTAAAACAATCACATATTCCATCCCAAATTTTTGATGCAGAGCCCCACAGAAGGCAGGAGACACTTTATTCATGAAAGCACAGTGACATCTTTTCTTCTTATATACGCAGGGAAACAATTATCTAACCTAGAAAGTSTGGTAGTTAGTAATAACTAGTATCATCAATGACTAGTGTGCAGTAGGCAAATAGGATGGTAAAATTAAACATTAAAGATATAATAATGAATTCAGGATAAGGAAATAATATAAGAACATAAATGGGGGGAAAAGGAAAAACTTCTCCTTTCATAGCTGCAATACTACAAATAACAACCATAGGGTTTAAAGCTATGTGTCTTGAAACTAATTTCCAGTGCTGGAGGACGGGGGGAAAAAAAAAGTCTTCCTTTTGAAAAGGATACAAAAAGGAAAAAAGAAGGAAGGTTCCAGATTTCCTTCAGGTTTCATTTCTTACTAGTTCCGTATTCAAAYATGACATGGAAGATGCCTCCTTATCACATTGCCATCTCAAACATGTCAGTGTCCCAACAGGTCCCAATAACATGGACAGGGAACGGTTCCCAACTCCACTTTTGCTCCCAGTGCCCACACAGCGCTCTTCCCAAAAGATAAAATTTTATTGCTAATAAGTCATTCCCAGTTCAGTACTTTTCTGTAGTTCTTGTAAATGGTAACAGAAAATATGGGGCCACCCACTGCCTCCAAATCACACATTACTCAAAGGGCACTTAAAGTAAACATCACAGGACTATGATAATGGATATATGATAATACAGTCAGGTGAAATTTAAGTCCGTGATACCCAAGTATTACACATAGGTACTGTCCCTTTACAAAACAAAATACCAGCTACTAATAAATATTGTCCAGTACCAATCCCAATCAGATACTGCAGTMTGATAAGAAGCACTGATAACTTATACAGTAAACAGATTATTATTTTCTTGGTGACATTGGACCACAATGTGAAGAATAAACACTTCAGTGAGTCACTTCCTGTGTTGTGAGCATACAGTGTATGTGAGCATACAATTTAAAGGCTTAAGGCTCTATTTTAGGGTGTGACTTTTGTCAATCTCAAACCACAGTATTCATTTCGAATTCACCTTGGAGATGACAGCTCTCTAGCAATACTTCAATGCTGCTGGCTCTTCTAATACCTGTACATGCACATGCTGCATTGAGAATCTGCATTCAACAGTATTCCTGCTATACATAACTGCAATAATTAATTCACGTGCTCTCAAGTGTCCTTCAAGTTTTATCTTGCTACAGTTTGTTATTCCTCCTGTACCTATCCTATGAAGATAAGGTTAATGAAGACTTTCATACAGGAAAAATGGAATGTCACATGGGTTGTGCATTCACAAGATATGTCTAGTTATTGCTTAGGAGAGTTCCATCAAACTACCTGAAATGATAGCCAAATRATATTTTATGTTATAGTGACTGTAATTCCTGAACACAAAACAGCAAATAAATAAGATCTCTATTGTTCCTGGTTTTGTTTTGAAGATGATAATATAATCTCACTTCAAAGCATGAAATCCCCTCCAGGAGCTCCCACACATAAATGTATTTAAATCTTTATTTGATGATCCAAATGCAGTATTAAAGTGCTGAAAAAGGAAATGTGAAACATTTTATATAATGCTGACTGCAAAAACTGACTGGAATAAGATGAAACTTCACCTTAATTGAAGATGTGGTACAATAATTCAGTCAGTTATTCAAAACACCTCCCTGATTCTTGCTGTTACCCAAGTGCAAGTAAAGGCACTTTGCGCTGATTATGCATCTCCCTCTTGTATGAGGTTCAATTCCTAAAGTAAAGGCAACTAAAATACTTCGATAAACTGCCCTGTAGTGACATGTGGTGCAACAGAACGCAGACTGGCTTAAATAAGAGAGCGAAGTCAGTCCAGTTTCTCAAAAAAACATCTTATGATAAATATTTTCAACTATTTCCTTGTAAATAGATGTTTCTATAGCTTCCTAACAAAAAAAAAAAAAAAAAAAAAAAAAAAAAGATTGTGTCATAAATTAGGAGTTCTGAAGATGTGCAGTGATCTAATTATTCTGTCCCAATGTATTTCTGACAGTGCCACAATCAATACCTCCCTGGGCTGCCAGGCACTCCAGGTCACGTATTCTCTATTTGTGCCTTTCTATCAGAAGTTGGAGAGACACCTCCCCAGTTGTATTTGTGACAGCATAAGTATTTTATTTCCTTTAATATGTCAGTCACATTTGCAGACTAGTAAGATCCCTTCCTGCTTTGCCCTGGCCCATCTGCCTCTACTTAAAATAGAATTCTACCTGCATTTTGCTTTTCCAAATAAATCACCACTGCTTCCTGGCATGAGGTCATTCCAGACAAATATGAATACAGCTTCTCCTTCCTTGTCACCTCTCAGACTGCCACAGCAGATTCACATCGGACTCTCTACACAGATATTGATGTTGAGYACTACTTAACTTCTGTGAGTCATATTCGCAGATGTTTTCAGCCAGTGGAAAACAGTCCATTTCAACAGCAAAAGAGTTTTTCCGAGTGTCTTTAGGCAATATCACACTTCTTGAAAACTGTGCTTAAAAATCATAAAAGACAGGAATATTTTAAATGAATTACTCTGAATATATGTACTGTTTTCAATGCTCACGAAATACACACTCTTGATGATTAAAAGGCATTTTATCAGCAGTTCCATTTCAAATCAGTGAAGTTACATTTCCCATCAGGACAACAAAATGAAAAAAAAAAGACCATTCAGAGAGACAGTGATTACAATTTCCTATATTAACCCAACAGGGAACCTGACATTCAGCATCAAACAATGCTATTGCTTCTTTCTCCAGAGGAATAACTTTCTAGATGTGTCAACAATAGTCAAGGAAAACCACTTCAGAGAAAGAGCTCTATTTACAGCACAGAGAAAGTAAGCCAAAAGTGAAGTAGCAGCATCTATGTTAATAAGAAATGCATTTGTAAAACATGCATTTATAAAATGTGCAAACAAGCAACAAATTCACAGGCTTTCTAAAAGCTTAGGATATTAAGGTATTACAAAAGAGATGTCAGTAGTGCTGGCACTCACAAATAAAAGTGGGCTTTATTAAATGGAGTAGTCAAAGCCTAGATGCTTATGAGGCACATTTTCCCAGCCTTTTAACACTGGTTTTAAAAAGTAACTCACCAAAACAGCTATTGGGTCCTATTATTCAGCAACAGGATGTGGTTAGAGTGAACCTGAATTCTCTCTGATTCAGTGTAAAGTGTAATTAATTAGAGGCCTCAAGGTATCAGAGACAAAAGCCTGTTTATATGGAAATCCCTCTTCTGGAAAAAGCCATGTAGAAACTTCCTGAATCAGCAGATAGAGCAACATGTAAAATCATCCTGGCCTGTCTGACCCTCCTACAAACAAATCTYACACCGTCCTCCAAAATCTTACTGGTGAACAGGGAAATGTTCAGGCTCCTGAACTTTTATTCATTTTAATAGTTTTACTTAATGAAATGTAAAAATATTTATAACATTCACACACCAGAGGAGTGCTCCAAAATTAAATTTACTAGAACTAGCATACGGGCTTGACTTTAAAAACAGCTTCTCACATTTTTAGTTCTCCTGAATATGGAGGCAAGGCATTAAAATTAAAACATAGCTTTTCTTCAAAATTAGTTTTGAAAAAAAAAAGATCCCAGAAAGGAAAAACAATAGAAATGTATTCTGATACCATAAAAAAGTTTTTATATCAAAATTGTTTATTTATAAGGTGACCAAAGTTTGTTTTCTTAAAGCAGACTTTGCTTAGCGAGAAAAAGCATACAAGACCGAGGCAAGAGTATGAGGGAGTTTCTTTTCTCTTGTTTATAGGCAAGACAAAACAATCTCTGGACAACGGGAAGTAACACAATTTTTAGAAAATCCCAGTGGCAGGAATGAAAACACTTCAAATAAATCTTCAAATAAAATCTAAAACCCTCAAAATGATGTTGAAGGACAACAGATGTTCTCTGAACTAGTCTGTTCAAAGACTCATGTACTCCCTAGGAGAAATTATTTATTTGCATTGATTAAAGTGAATATTCAAATCCAGACTCTTACAAACAGAAATCGAGAATAGTTGCATAAGGAAAGACAAGCTGTGTCTGTCCCTCTGCCTTCTGAAAAGAAGCTGAAATCCTCACTGAATATATGAAAATAATGGAAATATACAGACTACTGGATTTACATTTTTTGCCAGTCTAATATCTTTACTGTGTAAAAMAGAACACAAAAAGCTCAGTCCGAAATCTAGGCTGCAAGTTATTTCCTGAATGAATCTTTTATCTTWTATACTTTTGTGATATGTGCTCGACACACTGGAACCTTGGCTGATATGCTGCCAAAATATATTWAAAAAGTCATTATAAGAAATAACTTCTGTCATTTTAAGTTAATTCTGAAATTAAATCAACAATAAGATGAATCTGCATTGYTATGAGTCCCCAAGCAGGAATCCATCCAGCCATCCAGCTCCATTAGGTAGCTTTCCTATTAAGGAGGTTAACGCTGGCCCAGATATGGCCAGATAAGTCTCAAGTGACACACAGATAACAACATCCAAAAGCAGAAGCCTCAAAACCTTTTCCTACCTCTGTAAACAGCTCAGATGCCAGACCTTATCCAAAGAACCAATTAATGATTTTAATCACAGACTCCTTAAGGAAAGTTCATCAATAATGCTGCAATCAAGGACCAGAATACAAGTGACCAATTAAAAAAAAATCTGTAATTAGGACTATACTCGTTATAACTTGCATAAGCAATGCAACTTCCTCAGCAGTGACAACACTCCCTGGTACTCCTTAGCAAGGTCTAGGCCTTAGCAAGGTCTAGGCCAGGTCCTCCAGTTAAGGAGGAGGTGAGTTAGGAGTTAAGGATTTGAATCTTTTCAAGTGAAGTGAAACACAGAACAAGTCTCTTGAAACCCGTGCAAGCACTGCAGTCTTTGTGGAAAAGCCAGCACGGAGATGCTTCCCACATCAATGATAAATGGAAGTGCCCACAGTAATGATGCCACACTCCCTTTGTTAAAGGAAAAACTTAGGTATGGGACTATAGAGTTTATATGTCAATCTCAARGTTGCATATCCTATTATCTGCACTGCCAGAGCACCTAAAACCCCTTACCTTGGAACACAGTGCCCTAGGTGCCTTACCTTTTGCAATGCTAAAGCTATTTGCAACTGCGTAGCCCACCTTTCACTTGCAGCTCTCTTATCTTTCACCTAAACTGCCCTGTATTTTTCCTTATTACTGTTCATCTGCTGTTACTCTACAGGCCTACCACCCACAAGCCAAATATCGTTGTTACAGCAAGGTCTTCTAGGAGGCAAGGTCTTCTCTCACAGTCATGAGCATCATCCCTTCTGCCCTCGCTGTCTTTACATTGGGAGGCTCAGCAGTACAGGTGAGCAAGGCCTCCCAAGTATGCAGCGCCTGCCCAAGATCAAAGCCTGCTCCTATCAGGGCTAACAGTATCATAAGCAGGCACAGGCCCTGATGAAAACACATAGTTATTATGGGAAAGGAAGGAAGAGGAATCTACCTGGAGCACTGGAGAGGCCACACCATGCAGAAGGGTTCATCTGGAGACCCTCGTTGCTTCTCTCCCCTGCCAGCTGCTGGGGAGATTTCCCTTTTCTCTTTCTGTCCACAAATAGTAACTTGACCATTCAGAACTCAGGTGTGTCAGCAGATACAGATCTTGCTAAAAATATTAATGTATTTGAACATGTCAACATTCCTCATGTGACCATCTCTATGGGCATTTTTTTAAATCCCACTGAAAGTCAGCTTTTCCACTGTTTTCAGTGGAAGCTTTAAGGGACCACATGGCAGCTCTGTGCAAATGGAATGAACAGTTGGGGTACCAAAACTTGTGTGGAAAAAAACCAAAAACCCTCCAAAAACACCGAAATAAATGCAGGTGATACCAATCAATAGCTGCTAATTCATCTTTAAATATATTGCAGACTGGGAAAAACAAATAGATATTTGTTAAAATATTTCTACAAAGCTTTCTTTCCTGCAAGGATCATATACAACATTAATAAACTAACTCCCCCTCTAAAGTACACTCTAAAGTGTATCTGTTTTAGGCATTTAACCATTTAATACAGGCAGCTTCCTCTGACACTATCAGAAAAAGGAACTCAGTTTCTCTGTACACTTGATAGAGAACAAATTCAGTGGTTTGCCTCCAATCTCCTTCTAAAAATGCTCACTATGCTCAGTAAAAGAGATAATTTGAGTATATTGAAGCAAAATAAATTTCATCCCAACTTTCAAATATTTAAAACATTCATGTTGGCACCATACTCAGTAGGTAACATTTAAAACAGAGATGTTAGCAGAAATCTAAAGTTTCCCAGCAGTAATTAGCATAGAGAAAGCTAGAACCAGTATGTTCTGCCAAATGAGTCTATCTAATTTGAAGAGAAGTTCACACTTAAGGGTTTTTTTTGGTTAATACACCAAAGATGAGCTACTTCTCCTGTTTCCCCACCACCACACACACCCCTRTTCACTGATGTACCAGAGAAACTAACATGGCTAAGGATTTAAGCCTAAATGGAATTAGAAGGAATTACTAGAGAAAATCTGATTTGTAAAGTATTTTTCTTTAACAATTTCAAGCAACAACTTAACCTTTTGTTATTACGATGAGAAATTTAAGGCCTAAAGAAATCCACAAACCAGAGTATTAGTGGCTAAAAAAAATCACTTTTGATGGGTGTGGCAKTTCAAGTACATGCATAGATACTGACCAAAAGTAAAAGAGCAATTTTGGACTAATTTACATTTTACATGTCTGCCTTTCCAATGCAAACTCCATTTGTGCATGATTTAAATGTTCCTAATAGAATATTAACTTTTTATGTTCCAGAACTCCAATAGGAAAAACAACTAATTCAGAATTTACACATTCTTATTTGTAGTGCAGGAAAAAATGTTGATCTCACTGTGGTCAATAACAAAACTCCCAGATTTCAGTATGGATAAGATCTTATGGTTAGTATGTTTATACTTTATAAACGAGTGAGCCTAAATGTCAACTGAAACATTTAATTGCACATGGAAAGTCATTCTCTGAAGGTATTTTCTTTACTTCCACATTCTAGTACAAAGATCACAGAATACCAGACAATAAAACAAAAAAACACCCMAAACCCAAAAAACAGAAGGTCATGCAGTCTGAAGATCAAATCTTTCTTTCTTTCYGTGTTGTAGCTCTATACTCAATGTTGAAGTTGCTGCATTGTACTAAAAATATGCAATTATAAATAATTTATCATGATCATTTGCATCTGCTGGCAAAGTGATCTCAGGTGCAACATCTGGCTTTCAGTGATGACTTTGTGTAGAAGACATCCAAAATCCGTACTTTATTCCTTCTTGTTCATAGATCTTTTCAACCAGCATTTGGACACGGCCATGTTTTTCATAACTTGAAAAACAGTAAACACCACAATCGTATTTTAAACTCTGGGAAACGAGTTTTTGAAAAGTTTTTATAAATCAAATATGAAGTCCATATAATTAAGTATCASGTCTCTTCTTCCACTGCTTTATTGGTAAGTTTTAGTGGTAAACACTTCAAGCAGGAGGCACTGGCAGTCGTTTTACTATTTCCATAGCTATCCTGAGATAGGCTTTRGCCTGTAAAAACAGAAATATATATTTAGCACTTTTCATTTTCTACATGAAGGTACAAATGTTCTTGTTAGGTATAGTCTTTCACACACTTTCAAATAAAATGAAAAATGTTACAATAAATGGGCTGTACTTTACTGTTTTTGTGTTAATAAAAATATTAAATACATAAAATAACTGCAAGCATTAATTAAAACATTGAAGGGAAAAGTGAAATCTAACTTCACTTATTTTTAAAACTCTGGTGTCTACTCGACTGGACTAGTTGGTTTAAATAGCAAATAATCAATACTCTTCTAGAAAAGGAAGCTGCAGGTACCGCTGCACTACTATTAATTACAAACTTCTCCCACCCTACAGCTTGAGATGTGCCGTGCACGGGATTCAGACAGAATCAGAGGAAACAACTACATTCCCCCAAATTCAAGTCMATTAATTCATTATAGACAAGACCGCACTACAGAAATTCCAACACAGGCATTAAAAACATAAGGGTTTGGAAAAACAAACATCCTCCCAGGAGTGTGAAGGTGGTATGAAAAGAACAAATTTCACCATATGAGGATCCATGTGGGACAAGTCCCCTGCCACAACCACCTGTGACATTTGGTACTAGGCTGAAGGTGGATGGGGTAAGCCCACAGAACCCTAAGGCTGCCAGGAGCGGCCTGATCCGTCTACCATCCAGAATTCATAGATTTAACATCAAGAGACACGTATRAAAACACTGCCTAAGCTCCAGCACAGTACAAACCATAAAACGAAGCCTGGTAATTTCTGTATCGAGCTCAACAAATTGTAGTTGATATTGAACAGACCTTTTAGAAAGGTTGCCAATCTTTATATCAAGATTTTCAAGTAACAGTRTATCTGCTATCTCTCTTCTATGTTGTTTCAGGGATCGATTAGTTCTATTATTAAAAACATACACTTTATCTCCAATTCCAATTTGTCGCACTTCAATTTCCAGCCTGTGCATCATGTTCTGCGTTTGCCTAGTACAATAAAACGCTCTTCTGCCATTCAGCTTTCTTCTGCTCTGTTACAGAGCTACCACGGTATTTCTTGTCTTCTCAAATGAGCCTGCATTTGGAGCCCACACTGATAATCCCCTCTACTTTACTGGAAGAAGTCACAAAAATACCCCACTGCACTTACCTCCCCCTGCCTCCTCAAGCATCCCTAGGTGGGTGTAACTGTGCAGGAAAACTTATAACTCTGATGAGTCTTTAATGTAATAAGCTGACAAACATCCGAGGACGGAGCTAAGAGGCAGGAAGCAGGGAGGGAGGCCAGTGCATCACTCAGGCTATTAGCATTAGTTGTCATTAGCAGAAAACATTCAGGTCTGAACCAGGTGTCAGCCTTTTACAGGGCCAGCACATGTTTTCTATTGCTTGCTCCTCACACTCGGGTTTACTTTTTCTTTCTTTTTTCCCCCCCACCCCCTCAGCATTTGTTATAAGCTTAGATAATTATTTCTTTTTCATTTTAAGTGCAAAAGGAATGGAGACACAATCTCTTCACAAATAATTGAACACAGCAAATGTATTATGACCACAGCTGACTCACCAYGGGGCTTAATCCTAAAATGATCTGCACATGCAAGCTACTCCTGCAAGCAGTTGCTTCAAAATCAATTGAATGATCCATTTAAATTACCACAATTAAGTCTGTGGTCAACTTCAAATCTTGTACCTGTATACCGACAAAGCGAAGACTTGTTTAAAAAACAAATTATAACATATTCTGGCACATTACATTACAGTCAAAAAACAGTATTTCCTATTCTGCAGTTCAAGTTGAGGGCATTTTTTTTTTTTTTTTTTTGTCCACTAAAGAGGACCAAAATACAGTTCTGCTAGCAGGGTAATCATGGTTAAAATTCCTTCAGAAGACTGACATCATTTAATGTGTATTTTCGCCATATGATTGTTCAATGACCTATTATCCAGGACGTACAGAAACTATATGTTAGAGGCTTCTTTAAAACCATTAATGCCTGTATCAACTTGTACATTTATTCGGCAGTGCCAAATCAAAGCAACAAATAAGTAACCGAAGACTCTTTATAAGGGCCTTTGAAGCATGAAATCCTGCTCAGCATTTCATACCACAGATAAGCTGACTTTTGTTCAAAAGTCACTTTTCCATTCTTTGGTATATAAATTGACAAAGTACAGGCCAGTAAAATATTGTTTTCCTGTTTATTCCATTATTCAACTCTTAAATGATGGCAGCAATTAAGAAAAAAGTAGACAGCGTTTCTCCATTTGCTCTGGGAACCTTACAAATGCTTACTGCAATAAGCAATATTATCACTGAGCATTAAAAGAAAAAAAGTCAACACAACCTACACCCCCTCATGCCTATATATAGATCAGATGGATTCATCACAGAAGAAGAAAAGGAAGCGTAATTATTCCCAAGGGAGGTGGGCTCCTCGGAGCTGCAGGACCTCCTAAAGATCACAAGTGTGTTGCGAGTGACCCAGGAAGGCAGATCAGAGCACCAAAGAGGTCAAACGCTAAAAACAGCAGGAACAAAAGCAGACAGGCTGGACATAGCTTTGAGGCATTCCCATTTCACCTTAGAAACTCGATATTCGGGCTCAGAATAGAATACAGGCGAGGTGTTACTCAGGGAGGGATAGGTATTATACCGTGAAGAAATCACTGCGGCTAAAACTAACGTGGGTGAAAAGCTTTGATCATTTTCAAATTACTTGCTATTTAAGTCTGCTACATTCTCTGAATTACTCTTTTCTTCATTTTCTGTGGTAATTAAGTCATTTTGGCAGGTCTATCCCAAGCTATTGCTTGCGATATTATTTTACTCTATTATAGTGCCATGCTCTTTAACAAAGGATTGCTTGGGATTATTATTTTATTATTAAATTATCCTAAATCAATTACCATAATTCAAATGTCTGACTCCTAAAACAAAGCATGGAAACGCTGGATACCACAAATGTAGCRTCTTATTTTGTATTTTACAAGATGAGATCCCATAAGAACCAAACAGAATCAGCCAAAGATGCATAACACGTTGTTATCCAGTGGTTACTGAGTCTAATTTTGAAATTTATTATCAAGCACAATAAAAACTCTTAAATAATAAACACTTCATTTTCCCTCATTTACTCAGGGAGAGAGTTAACCCTGTAACTTCTCACATATTCCTGTATTTCAAAGCCTCTTTGTAGTCTTACTGCAATAGAMTATTAACTGCAGGATGTAGGACGTTAGTAACAGAGTTTAGTTCCGCAGCTGTACTGCGGTACCCAATTCACTCCCCTTCTCTTTTTTAATAAATGTTCACCAAATCCTAGGCAAGAAGTAGCAGTATCATATCCCTAAATGACAATAAATGACTATTTTTTTCCCTTCTTATCTCTATACTAAGTCCACACACATAAAACTCATAAAAAGACTAGTTTTTTTTTTTTTTTTTTTCCCCCCACCCCATGCTGGAAAGTAATTAGTAAATGTGTCCTCTTAAAAGACTTGTGTAAAATTTTTGAGTTTGGTCAAATAAATCAATTTTAAAAAGAAATCTGTGACCAACCACTAATGTTTCACTCACTACTTTTTCAAAGAACCAACATATTTGTAAGAGACTCTTCTTCCTTCACAAGAAAAGCAGGATCATAACAATAACTTGACACGACAATACAAATTTCTGACAGGAGAGCACAACAGATTTTTCACGTACCTGCAATATATCTGCAAGTACAATCTTCCCTCTACACAATTGTATCAGCCCTCACTCTCGTAATCAAATACATAACAATGGAGTTTTACCTTATGAAAAACAGAATCAAAAGCTTTGATTCCGCAACACGGGACAACTTTGGGGAAAAAGAAATCAGCTTTCCCTTGTTCAGTGCTAAATGGAAAACAAAAAAATAAATAAGAGCAATTTATGAACACATGGAAGGTGACAAGAAAAAGGGATGACAAATAACAACTGATACATACTGATTTTTCTGGGCAGAAAGTGAATATGACAGCCAAATCAAATGTCAGATTTGAGAACATTAAAAGGAAATTTTAATGTTAAGAATAAACAGATACTTCCAACTTTGCAGACATTAGGTCAGGTGTAATGATTCAGACCAAAGGTCCAGGACCTAACAGTCTTTCCTCAACTGTGTCTAATGACAGAAGCTTAGTAAAGACTGTAAAACTAGGACAGATGACATTTCCCCAGAATACTTCAGAAGCTTCCAGTAATTTSTGACTGCATGGAAGTCCTGAACAGGTATGTTTGTGTTTAACAGGGATTAAATGGGCTTTAATTCTATGAATTTCTCTTAACATGCATTGACCGTTGGCACTACTAAGCACTAAGCCGACCTTTTTACAGAACTACCTATTTAAATTTCGAGAGGTTTTTCCTGCTAATTAGGAGGTCACCATTGCCTGTGTAAAAACTAGAACTGTATTATCCCACATGCGTCACTCCACGGCAAAAGCTATAGAACTTGTTACGAGAATGTACTTCAAACTTGTCCTGGAATCAGGTACCAGGGCTGGGCTTGTGTGAAACGCTCAGTACATTTAGTTATTAATTACCTGTGTGGTCTAGGAACTATTGTCTGCATAGGTGAGATAATGGACCAGTGTGAGACAACAGATCAACCTCAACTAAGACAACTGAGTGAAGTCCTAGTCACCTTCACAGTTTAGTATTTGACTAAGTGGTGCAGGAGCTATCCTGAWGGGAATTTCAGACCTTCCAAGAGTCTCCTGGGCACCTCTCTCTCTGCATACACCAATTTGTGTGTTTTAGTGAGTTAATTAACATTCTACATGGAGAATCTCGCCTTTCTAGAGATTCCCCAGGTGGTTCCTGCTCTACAATTGACCAAATTATAGACAGATAATTGTAAATAATCAGTAGAAAAAAAATTCTGCAGAATGGTAATACAGGGTAGTTTTTGTATACAGTTAGGAGCTGTCTTGTACATAATTTAAGATAAGCAGTAGCAATCGACATGCATA